AAACTAATACCACACAATTATCTGTTTTTATTGAACATGCAGTGTAAACATTCACAGTGCAGGGTGGGAAAAGTATCTGAACCACTAGGCTAATTACTTCTCCAAAAGCTAACTGGAGTCAGGAGTCAGCAAACCTGGAGTCCAATCAATGAGATAATGAGGTGTCGGTTAGAGTTGCCCTGCCCTATGAAAAATACACGCTAATTTTAATTTTGCTATTCTCATGAAGCATTGCCTGATGTGAACAATGCCTCGAACAAAAGAGCTCGGTCTATAAATGGAGAGGAGTCACTCTCCCTAGGAGTGGCAGCTCTGCAAAGATGACTGCACAAGCACAGCGCAGAAAGTTCAATGAGGTTAAGAAGGATCCTCCAGTGTCGGCTGAAGACTTACAGAAATCTCTGGAATTTTGCTAACATTTTGTTGACAACTCTACGATACATCAAACACTGAACAAGAATGGAGATCATGGGAGGACATTACGGAGAAAGCCACTGCTGTCCCAAGTGGAAAAGAGCACCTGGATGTTCCATAGCACTACTGCCACAATATTCTGTGGATAGATAAATATTAAAGTTGAATTGTTTGGAAGGAGCACACAACCCTATGTGTGGAGAAAAAAATGGACAGCACACCAACATTAAAACCTCATCCCGGCTGTGAAGTATGGTGGAGGGGGAATCATGGTTTGGAGCTGTTTTGTTGCCTCAGGGCCTTAAAGGGTTGCTATCATTGATGGAAAAATTAATCCCAAAGTTTATCAAGAAATTTTGCAGGAGAATGTAAGGCCATCTTTCCGCCAATTGAAGCTCAGCAGCAGATGGGCGAGGCAAAGAAGTAAATCAACAACAGAGTGGCTTCACAAGAAGAAAATACGCCTTTTGGAGTGGCCCAGTCAGAGTCCTGACCTCAACCCAATTGAGATTCTGTGGCATAACCTCAAGAGAGCGATTAACACCAGACAGCCCAAGAATACTGCTGAACTGAAACAGTTTTATAAAGAGGGATGGTCCAAAAATCCTCCTGACCATTGTTCAGGTCTGATCTGCACCTACAGGAAATGTTTGGTTGAGGTTATTGCTGCAAAAAGAGGTTATTAAATCCAAGGGTTCACATACTTCACATCCTTCACCCTGCACTGTGAATGTCTACAGGTGTTAAATAAAAACGTAAAAATATATAATTTTTTGTGTGGTATTAATTTAAGCAGACTGTGTTTGTCTTTTGTTGTGACTTAGACTTAGCCTGTTTATTTGTTTTTCACACTAAAAAAAGGACAATATTAAAGAATTAGTCTGGTTATCATCACTATCTGGGAACATAAAGACATCACTACAACAGTTCAATGGCAAGATCCATGAGCAAGTCTGACAATTGGATTGTAATTCAACTTGTAATACACTGACATTATCCTTTAAGCATACGCAAAAAAGTCAGCATTCATACTAAATTCACAGGTCTGCTTTTGAGTGTGCTGTTGTTGGACACTTGGCTATTGTCCCACAATGCAACGCACAAAGGAAAGCTTTAAAACATAAAAGAAGTAGGCTAATAATCTTTAGAAAAAGATTTTGGTTAATCTCAGCAATGTTTAATTGGCAGTGCCATTCCAAATATGTAGTTTAAGTGACATTTGGCAGATATATGGCATAATTTCATCTTAGTACAAAACCATAAACCGTACACTGGTTTCCTCCATACTAACTGCAAAAACACTATACTCTCACAGCTACTATATTTAGAACATGCAGTAAACTATGTATTATGAAATTGGATAACTGCTTATACAATTTTGGCGGAATTAGTTGTCTGTTTTGTACTCAGAGGAAATTATAGAAGATGTGAGTCAAAAGAGGTTTCCGTGTTTTTGTTTGAAAAGTGGAGTAAAGATGTGGTTTGCAAAGATTCACTTTTCACACACAGTGTGTTTCACAACAGGGGAATATAGTTCATAGCATTTAACCAATCATTTTATATGTAACTTTGCATACTTTTAGCATTTTGTGATATTGTAAAAATAATCTTTATAACATTGTGACATTGAGTTCAGCCATATCACCCAGTCCTCTGTAAATGCTTTTGTTTTAAAAAGTCGACGTGTCTTAAAATCTTGACTATTTCGCAACTGCAGAAAGCACTTAACACCGCACCGCCGAGGCCAAGTCAAGACCAAGACCAGAGTTTATTGAGACCAAGACTTTTAGGGGCTGAGGCCATGTCAAGACCAAGACCGAGGGAGGGCTAGACCGAGTGAAGACCAAGACCAGTTCACCACATTACATGTCACACGGTAAAACGTGAAACGTGATCATAGGTACTTCTCAAATTGATCTGAAAGATCCACATTCCCATTAAAATACCCACACACAAATATTAAGAGCTGAAATCAACTTAAGCATCTTTATTCAACGCTGCTTTTCCATGCTGACCATCGCGGGGAGGAGGGACAGTTGTCAATAGGAACAACACATGTTTAATTAGGGTTATTGGTTGACTCCGAGACGAGACCAAGACCATCAAAAAGGTGTCTTAAGACCAGTCTCGAGACCGAGATCGGTCTCAAGTACACTACTCGATAATACATCTGGAGAAAAATATTGCCTATTGGTATCTGCTTGTTGTCAGAGCATCACTAACCACAACCCGTGACATGGTGCAAGCCAGCTGACAGTGAGACACAGGCAGTCTGCACAGTATCAGTAGACCCACATCAGCTTTTCAGAGTTATTAAATCCCCTTCATTGTGAACCATTAGAACCAGATAATTAAAGGCGAAGACCTTCATTGAGAAGAGTGGCAGCCTCTACACTGTATTTTACACGTCAGGTCCCTCCAGCACTGAACCACAGCAGCCTTACCCACAGATGCTGGTGGGCGTCCCCACGTGATATTTACTGTTCCCCAGTGCCTTGTCCCACACCGTTTTACAAGACAAGTAAACACAACATCAGCACATAAGGTGGGACAGCAGCCGTTACAGATGTGCAACAAAAGCAGCATTGTGCAGCACAGTTATTGCTCCTGTTAAACAGTCAGCACTGTAGGGGCAGAGCAGCCAAAGCCTGTGAAACCCTCAGGATTGTTGCGTGCTTGCAAAATGTCAGCTTGACTTGGAGAGTACACTGATTTTTTAGTTCAATTTAGGAGTCAACTGCTTGTGCATTAACATGCCCAGTCTGTTAAAAGATCATATATTAGATCATATATGGTGCAAAACATATTTACACATCCTTTTTTAAAAGTGGCAACTAAAAACACAGCCAGCACTTCATGCAAAACAAAACCTAATTTACAAAAACGTTATTATTAGTATTTTAACAAAACTGAATGTTTCATTAAGTTAACAAACTGTCAGTAGTCACACAGAAAAAAGTTCCACACGCCTTAAATCTGACTTGCCAAAGTCCAGACAGCTGTTTGAATACAACGCTTACTATAACGCGCTAAAACCGAAACCAGCTAACAGCAGACAGTTAAACTTAGTGCAGATATTTACTAACACTTCAGGGTATGCGGAAGGTCCTACACACCTACACAGTTACACAAGTGCTGCTGTCACTATTTGAAAAATGAAATATGGATAGGGCGTTGCTTAACGGTTAATATATAGCTGGATAAACTGTAAGACAGTGCCAAGCTTAGATAAAATGTCAATATTTTGTAGGAGCCCGTGTCTTTTCCCCACTATCCTTTTCCACAAAAATATAACGAAGAACGCAGAATCACCACGAAACAACTCTATAACTCTTATCTAGCAAATTAAAATCTGTCTTACGAAAGATGTACAGATGACAGAGATAAGCAGAGTATGCTGAACAAACCTGAAGTTTTACAGTTTTGTAAAATACTTTAAGTCATGTTGTCCGATGTATGTATGTTCACCGAATAGCGAAATAACAGTTATTGCCACAGTAGTTTGGCACAGTGTTCCATCCATAACGATGTGAGCGGCACATCCGAACAAACAAGCCAGTCAACTTTCCATAATGCTCATTATGTCAGTAAAAATCCCTCAACATTATAAACACTACACACAAAACACGTTTGTCGTTGCTTTACTCACCCAAACTGTTTGTGGAGGAATCCATAATCCAAGTTGTAAGTGTGTGAAGTTCCTCTACGGGTAAAGCCTGGACTGAGGTGTGTCTTCCATGCTGAGAGGAGTGTCAGAAAGTCGCACACTGGGGACTTGACTCAAATTGCCAGGTTAAGCAACAAGAATACCGGAAACGTGGAGAGTTTTCCTGTGAATATAGCGCTTTTGCTTATTAATCTGTTAAAAATGGATTTCAAATAATTCATAAATTGCGTGGAAATAAAATGACAGTATGCCATCACTGGAATAAAATGAAACAGAATAACAAACACATTGCTAGCTGAAAGATTTAAAGTGAACCCTAAAACTCCCGTAACGTTAACATCACCTCATTTTGGCTAGCTTGATACTATTCTCGATATTTTCCCACGCAGAGATGCGGTATTATGAATTTCAAAAAATGCATCTATTAACTCTCTTCAGCAGTTATTTTCTCCAGTCAACGCGACTCAGTGAAGAGTATCTAGATGTTAGTGTACCAAAAGAATGCAGTATGAAACTTGAAACCCAACTTTTTCGGGCTAAGTTACACCCCAGCGTCCGTCAAATGAAAGTTGAAAGGCTTTTGGCTCCACCCCGCGGCAGGGCTGTGTAGTGCACGTGCATCTTAATTGTCAGTGACATCCTAAAATAATTTTTAAACACTAAAAGAATTTTGTTTCATTTATTTATTTTTAACATTTTTCTTTAAATAACGTTACATGTTTGTTTTTTTAAGCCTAGTGCGCATTTTACCTCCACAGCATTAAAGTAACTCAGAGCCGCTTAATTACAGAAGCAGGCAGCAAAACACCTTTACCACAGGGTACATTTTAGCGTAATGAACAAAACAATTAAAATACCCAAAAAGTGTGTTTACTGTATGTGCAGAACGGGAGTTTGCGGAACAGAGTTAATGTTTCTGTGGTTTAGGGGACGCGAATGTGTGTAGAACCAGGATGTTCGGCCGGCTTTTCAACATGGAGGCGTCCACCGAGGGTGATTTTTGAAGGAGACTAATTTCTTCGTGCGTTCGTCAGCATACATGGTAAGTGAGTAAGGGATATAAATAATTACATATGTTGGTCTAATGTGTGGATAAGTCAAATATTACCGAATATAAGTTCTTAACAACAACTTGCCTCACTGACACTCTGCTCCAATTGAATGCGAAACTTCATACCCAAATGTGTCCGTTTAATGTTTTCTTACCTTTTGGCCAGTATTTATACGTAATAGAAGTTGACAGAAGAACGTTTATGAATAAAGCAGAGCCACTCTTCAGGTCGGCTTACAGAAATCAATTAAACACTGTTTTATTTTTACTTATTAATTTATTTAAATAATAATTAAACTGTTCTTCAGTCATCATCACAGTCGTCTTGGTGTGTGTCACTTTTGGATTAAAATAGCCTTCCCAGAGTTCCTTGAGTACATAAAATCACCTGCTTTATTAAAGCAATTAAGCATTTGTGATGCTGTCCATGACATGTGCATTGTCTCTCTGCAGTCCTGTTTCCAGAAGGTCAGTGTCATGGCTCCACCATGAAGTGTGCCCGCTGTCTGCTGCAGCTGCAGTGTCTCAGACTGGTGGGCCAGTCAGCCGGGTCTGCTGCCCAGTATGGCGCTGTGCTCCAGTCAGCCTCCTCCAGGCAGCACAGCACGCCACATTACACCCAGCACCAGGTAAACGTTATTCTACACACATAGAATCCAGACTCTGCTCAAAATATTGGGCATTTAATGAAGCTAGCATTAATAGCAAAGGCAGATAGCATAGGATAGATTGATTTGGACCTTTCTTAGTATGAAGTAAATCATATTTTTTTTAAATATAAACATATATAAATATGTATTTTTACATTGTTTGTTATTGCATTGGTTGATATTTTTTTGTGTTTTTGTTGTTTTGTAAGATACACTATCGGATTTTGTTCTAGCACCTAAACACACAAACCAGTTCACTGCTGACATTTTGAAACTCAGCACAGTTCACATTTAGCACGTAAACAGTGCTTTTGGGCACTAGAACAAAACCAGGACGGCAGAAACATTGTGTTTTCTAAAATGCAAAGCTACATCTAAACAAAAACAATTGTCACTGGTAGGTGTTGAGGCTTTTCCACGGCAGCCCAACGTGTGCCAAGAGTCGGCCTGTACCCGCAGACTTCATCAATGAGCAGGACAAGAAGAGGAACAAGTCTCTGGTCACCCATGATGACCTGTTTGAGCAGGTGGCCAAAGAGGTCAAAACCAAGACCACATTTAACAAAGTGGTGGACGTCTTCACCAAGAGAGACGTGAGACGGCGGGGTCACGTGGAGTTTATCTACGCAGCTCTGAAGAAGATGCCAGAGTTTGGTGTGGCGAGAGACTTGGCTGTCTACAACAAGCTGCTGGATGTTTTTCCCAAAGAGGTGTTTGTCCCCAGAAACTTTATCCAGCGAATGTTTAACCACTATCCTCGACAGCAGGAGTGTGCAGTGCAGCTACTGGAGCAGATGGAGAACTATGGTGCGTGTCTGTCACAGCATTCAGCATGGTCATGGAATTCCTGGAATGCTTTGGAATTTAGAGAGGGTTATTCCAGACAGGGAGGGGGCACTGAGATGTCAGGGAAATGTATACATTTTATAATGATACAGCTGTGTCTGTCTATCTTCAGTTAAATGATTGTGTTTCAGGTGTCATCCCCAACATTGAGACCAAAGTTCTGCTGGTCCAGATCTTTGGAGAGAAGTGCCACCCCATGAGGAAGTACCAGCGCATCATGTACTGGTTCCCCAAATTCAAACATATAAACCCCTTCCCCGTCCCCAAGCAGCTGCCTGTGGACCCAGTGGACCTGGCTAGGTTCACCCTGACCCGCATCGCTAATGACCTGGATGCTGAAGTCACAGTCTACCAGGTACAACCGTACGCTTTGGATTTGTTTTAGAATTTTGGCAAATAAGATTATTTACTTTCTCTCTGAGAGCGAGATATTCAGATGGATATCAGTCTCATGTTGGTGTGTTAAGTACAAAGGCTCAGCTGTCTGTTTGTTTGCTCTTCCCGCTAGCTGCCCTGTACAGACATTACAGAGAGTGGAGAGCAGATGACACTTCCACACATAGTAGGTATGGAAACTGTTTGTTTGTCTCAAGTTTAATGTCTTATAGTATTTTACAGAAATGTATCAGATATCGTTGTCTTTGACACATATTTGCAGTAAGATGATTTCACACCTAACTGGAAAGGAAACCAGAGAAACAACAGTAATAAACCAGGAAACTGCGTTCTCTGCACCTCAAAAATGTTCTGTTAGGACAATGGTGGTATCGAGTGTGTGTGTGTGTGTGTGTATATTATTCACACTTTTGGTCTTTTGTTTCTTTTCTTTTTTCCTTCCCTAACCCTTTACTGCTTTGACACCAGGTATCCAGAGCCCCAGCCAGATGGAACAGCTTGCCAATCATAACCCAAGCAGGCCAGTCTTTGTAGAGGGACCCTTCCCCCTGTGGCTGAGGAAGACGTGTCTGTACTACTACATCCTCAGAGCTGACCCCACACCGCCTGACGAGAAGGTGGGAAAACCCTCTGTTAATAAGTTAATTGCAGTTAATAAATATTTTTGCTGTTGATGATGTTGTTTGACATGAGTGTTGATAACTAAGTGATTTAAAAAAGATTAAATGATTTTTTATGTCTTTGAATGAACAGTGACACAAACAGCAGTATGATAATAAACATACACTTCTGTCCAACATCCACAGTCTGGATGTGAAAGTGCTGTGCAAGGAATTACTGGCTATATTATGATTTAAATAATCAAACTCCTTGATTTCTTGCATTGGAATTAGAAGAACTGCATTATTTCTTTATATTTATACCAACAGAAAACACACAAGACTGCTAAAGTGGAATTTCATCCAGGAAAGAATAATAATAAACAGTAACTTTTGTAGAGCACTTTTCTAAAACCAGTGTTAAACTGTACAGGGTAATTCAAGATAAACACACGCAATACAAAGACCCTTCACTGAAACAGATTTTGCTAGCCTAATTTCCTCTGGCAGGCCTCTGGTAAAAGTGTAGGTGAACGTATTTATTTATATTGCATAGCCAAAATTACTAGACAGGCAGAACATAGCGAGTTATGATTCTGTGTAACGTTAGGCGCGGGGATCTGTGCGAGCCTTTCACTCTCATACGCCCCTAAAAATAGATCCGTGCGAATCGGAAAACTGATTTACACGTTCCCCTTGTTCTGTTTTACATCTGTTTTACCAAAGTTTACACAAATCAGCTTTAGGATGCAGACAGCAGCTGTTGATCGCAAATGTCTGTGCTACACCGCCTACACTACCAACATTATCCATCACTCACTTTATTCTCTTCACCTTTGTTCCCTTCTGGCCTATTTGAATTATGTTGTATTGATACAATGGTCGATCAAAGTTATCACAAACAAAGAGTGTTTAGTTTTACAGTCTCAAAATATATTTGTAGTAAAGGTAAGAAAAAGGTGAGCTGTGTGGTTTTTAGTGGCTTCTAAGGTTTCAGATTGCAACCAACAGCATACGCTTTACATATTTGTGACTGAAAATAAGTTACAACTATGTCAGCTAGTTATCAACTGGTCTGCGTTTGCAGGCAAGCTAACATTATCTGTTTCACATGTTATGCAGTGATTTTGCGCACATAAACATCACAGCCTGTGTAAGACAATGGATTTTCGCAGGAAATCCAACCAGTCCTTCACATAGAAAACAGTAGGCCTAAACAGGCTGTTATATACAACTGAGAAAGTTGGTGAATGGCTCAATGTTTAGGTGAGGTTACAACCTGGTCACACATAGGCAATAAAATGTTATAAATATGTTTAAATTCCTTTTAAAAACTCCACAATTCCCCCGTTAAAGGTGTGAGGCTGACTTAACCGGTTACAGCTCAAAGTGGCGCAGCAGTCTTAAATTATGTTAAAGGTCTTGAAAAAGGTCTTAAAAGGTATTGAATTTCACTTCTGGTTTCCTGTATACACCCTGTAAAGAGTTAAAAGGTCAGCAACACCTACTTGGCAATAAAGCTGATTCTGACTGGGATTGGTGGTGAGGGAAAGGTTTTTGTCGGTGCATCGCAGCACTAGGTGAGGCAGACTTATCGTTGTCGCACCGTTGTGTCTTGTGGAACACCGGTGTTACGCTTGTCTAGCCCAACAAACGGCTGTCTGTCTGGGATGTGTTGATGCCCAGGTGACTCAGTTTCGTAATCAGTTTGTAGGGGATGATGGTGTTGAATGCTGAGCTAAAGTCGAACAGCATTCTCACATACAATACTTAAAGTGTACTTATACACATACTTACTGTGTAAGTACATACAGTTACTGTTTTCCAGGCTCTACTTCTGAGCACACGTCCAGGGATGCCATCGGGGCCAGCAGCCTTGATGGCCACCTCCTGACTGGCCCTGTCAAAGTGTGCATACAATTTGTTAAGCTCGTCGGGGAGGAGGCGGCACTGGGTGGTGTTGGTGGGTTTGTAATCCATGATGGCACGTGTTGTTGTTGTTTTTGAAGTGCGCCTCAGTCTTTTGCTTGTGGCCTTTCTTGGTCCTCCTGATGCCCCTCAGGTTAGCCCTGAGCGTCACCCCGTCAGAGAGCGGTGTTGTGTGCCTTCCGTAGTAGGCTGGAATTTCCGTTCATCCACGTTGTCACTCATTCTGAAGCTCATACGGCTGTATCTGTGTGTTCCTCCACAGGTAGAGGAGCCCTATGATCCAGAGAGGTGTTTTGACTATCCTCTGCAGCTACAGCTGGATTTGGACCGCGACTTCGGGGACGATGAGAGCTTCAGTGTGGAAGACTGTAAGATATTAACCCTGAAGCTTTTATTTTAACATTGATTTTTTTCTTGAATGTTCCTTATCTTTGACTTGCATTCAGGGCTGATGTGGTTGGTCTTTAAAGATTTTGCCATTTATTGGTTTATTTTCATTCTGCTCAGGAGAATAAAAGCTCAGTAACCTCATGTTGAGTATGTAATGCAGCTGTTGTGTGTCTTGTATCCAGTGGATGAGGGTCCAGTCTTTGCCATGTGTATGACCAGCCAGGGAGACCAGGCCACCCTCAACCAGTGGATCTCTGGCCTCCAGCAGAGCAACCCCATCCTGGGTCAGGTCCCCACTCTGTTCCGCCTGGATGCCGGGCCCAAGGAGCTGCAGGGGGCAGCAGAAACAGAGTCAAGCCACCATCGCAGACCAGACCCAGAGATCAAGAGAGAGCCTGAAGAAGAATGTGAGGTTATAGTGGAAGAAGAGCCGAGAAGAAGCCAGGGGATGAAACAGTGAACAGCAGTCAGACTGTGTGGTTAAGAATGTCAAAAACAAAATCAAAAGTTTAGAAGTATATATCCATGTTGGGTAGAGGCTGAACTTGGTTGGTTCATTTAATCATGGAACACACCAACCCAGCAGAACCTAAGGAGAAACATAGATCAGTTCAGGTAAGAGTCAGTAATCAAACAAATTAAATCAAAAACTCTGTGTGCTTACTCATTTAAGTCAGTCCTCTGTCAAAGGTTTCTGATTTAATATTTGAAAGGATTTTAAGCCGTGGTTCAGCTGAATATCCTGTCACAATCTAAATTACAAGTTGGCAATTACTGTAAACTGTAAACTGTCCTGCTCAGTAAATGTCTTAATCACAACCAACCACATTTCAGGGATTTGCTCAACTTTGTTTTAGTTCTGCATTCTTGATTTTAACGTAGCTCTACGTGCCTGCGTTTGCATACTTGCTTGGCCCATGTTTGTTCCCTAAAGCTATCTAATAAAAATGTGTCCTGTTTATTTAATTTGTACACAAACAGAAATGTAAAAATGGCAGTTTGTGGTTTTACATGTTAATTAATGAACTTTCTGTGAATGCATCTCTAAGTGAAACTAAAATATCTGTCACTGTTCAGTGTATGTTCTCCCCCGTGTCTGCGTGGGTTCTCTTCAGGTGTTCCGGGTTCCTCCCATCCAAAGACATGCAAGCTAGGTTAATTGGTGGCTCTAAATTATCCTTAGGTGTGAGTGTGACTGGTTGTTTGTATATTAAGTGCATGGTAATAACATATGCTTCTGTCCAACCTCCACAGTCTGGATGTGAAAGTGAGGTATGAGTAGCATTAGCTAATCAAACCCACAAGTCCTGGATTTATAAATGCTAATATTGACACAATTGTCCTGGACAAGCTCTCACATGTGTGACCAAGTGCCTTAGGGAGGATCAGGAGGCTATTATCAGCATTCTTTCAGAGGTTCTGAAAGACAGTGCAGCAGCTATGGAAATCTGCACTATTCCTTTGAAATAAGAATCCTCCTGAAAGTGCTAGTTGCCTTGAAGCCTGTAAATGCCATCCTAGCTGTGCTGGGGAAGTAGTCAGTGCATCTCTGATGAGAGATGATGAGTCATTAAGCAGTTTTGACTCAGATGACCCTGCTTCAGCAGTTAAGAGCTCACAGCTCACAGGTAGTGTTGTTCTGTCTGCTGTTAGGCCATGAGACTCAAGCCAGTATCTGAAGAGAGCTCTCAATATTTTGGACCAAGACATTGCAGAGATGCAGACCAGGTTCTCCAGACACAATCTTTATCTCATGAAAGCAGTGAGTCGCTGTCTTCCTCAATCTCTATTTTCTGGATGTTGCCATGTTGAGTCCCAGCAGACAGGTAATGCATGCAGTGAGAGACTTTCTAATGGGATTGTTGTTGCAAAAGTCATGTTAGGAAAGAAGTTCGCCTCTGTTGTTGCAGGCGACCTCTCCATCATGTGCAAACTCCCATAAGGCCTTATCTGAGGTCCATCATCTCTATGTAACTTCTCTTCTGCAGCATGCAAGAGCTCTTTCTCCATTTTATCTCGTGTCCTTACAACCTTCTGCTGCACTATGTTACGTGAGAGAAAGAGAAAGTGATTTGGGATTCTGGCTCATGAGAAGACCATCATGGGCTGGACATGGATCAATTTGTTAAAGGTTTTGCACATAGAAACACAAGACTAATGCTGTAAAAGGTTACTGATGTTTTAGAGCCATGTTGTGTATTATATGAAAACACTTTAAGTCACAGAAATACAAAAAGACAAACACAGAAAACCTTGTAAAAATCAGTTGCAAGATAGTTGTTTAAACTTGAAAAACATGTAACACGACCAAATGCTTTGGAAGATAATATTTTAAATAAGCCAATTACATTGTAGCTTCACATTTAAATAGAAAACATGTTAGGAGACTAGAAAACTATTCTGGATTAAGGCAGAAAACATATTTTAGTCCATGAAGAATGGATAATTAGATATAAATAAAGTTGTCCTCCTATAAGAGGCGGGTGGGTTTAAAAATAAATATATTATTATTATAAGTATTATTAGATTCTATGGCATTAGCTTTAGATAACAGGGCACATTATAGCTTACAGTCCCGGAGAGCAGTCAGAATGCTCTAGTAACAAGTCTTCAACACCAGAAATAGGTAAATATGTTTTACCACCATCATCCATTGACTTTGAAACAATGGAACCCTATAATTTGTGAGGATTACCTTATTGAACATTAAATGTAAGTCCTTTATAGATGAATCCACAGCCATGCTTATGTCCTGGCTAGCCTACAAAAAACATCATCCCTGGGGCACTCACACAGCAGCAGATACATTCATCCAGTGACACAAACAGGTCTCCTAATGAATGGCAATGTTGCTCCATAACTGTTGGATGTGTAAACCAACAACTGCTTGCAAACAAGGTCACCATATCTGCTTTTAAGTATTTAATTAAGGTATGAATCCTAAATCCATACGCCTTGTTTTTTCACTCTGCATCTTACTTACCACTAGTAATTTAATGCAGGGCAAGCTGTAATCACTATGTTGCTAACTGCATATCACACATATATGTGTGCATATCAAACACAAATGTCTTTAAAAATAAAATTAAAAGTTATGGAAATAATTAATATATTAATAAAAATAATAAATGTGTGAAATATATCTCAAAAACAAGCCCAAAGGTAGAAAAGGTTTATTACTGAAAAGGCATTTAAACATTCCCTTTGAACTGGTAAACAAGTCAAGTCAGAATTACATTCTCAGAGGTATAATAGCATGGTCACATCCAGCCATTCCCACTGTGTTGTAGCTGTGCAGGCAGTTTCTCCAGGCATTACCGACCGCCACAGCTTTGTGCTCAAACAGAAGATTATTTCAGCATTTTACTCTTAGTGAAAATCATACAAAAACATGGGAATGCATTCCAGAGTTCATCTCTGCTATATAACTGTTCATCCATTTACTACTCATGCAGGAAAGCCTTTGGACCCTCAGTACTCACAAATGAGAAACTTCTCTAACATGGAACTATCTACGGATATGAACAACGCATCATCAATAATCATTAGGCCTATATAAGAGGAGATTCAATAAATAATAAAGTTGCTCAAAACATTGTGAAACAGCACAGTTAAAGATACATTTGGCATCTCATAACCACTTTCGTATGTTGTGTATTTACAGTGCAGAATGTTGATGTTTCATGTCACATGGTTAAAATGATATGAACTGCAAGAGATGGGGAAAGTGGGAAAAGGTGCCTCAATGCAAAAAGTTGTCATCATTGAATATATGCAAGGTCCTGGATTTGGAAAACAACGTGTTGCAGAACCACATACAATAACATGTGGAACAGCTCCAGACGCCCATGCAACAATCCAAGAACTAACAAGGGTCTAGAACAGTTTTAGACCTGAATGTCTGCCTGCCAAAAGTGCAGAGAAAACAAAATTATATAGCCACTATCAGAACCTACAAACTCTTGAACTCTCGAGCTGTGTGTGTGTGTGTGTGTGAGAGAGACACCGTTTCTTTTCTTATAGCTGGCTGATATGGTGGTTCTATTTAAATTTACTGTATCATTTATTGTAACCATCAGATATAAATATGTCAGTGTTGTTCAACTCAGATGTGATTCTGACAAGAGCTATGAAAACACATCCTTCAAAACCTGACAAATCATTTCAATGTTTCATTGTATTCCCTAATGACCTGACTGCCTCAAGAGAATCTTGGGAAATGAGGAAAAATTGCTATGATCATGCGATTGCCCTCTGTGGCCGCTGTTCAGCAAATGTTAGAGGTTTCCTTCTCCTCTGAGGGTCTAAATGCTGTTTTCAGAGAGATTGGGATTATGCTATAGCTGTTGGCCAAATTTAAAGGAATAATTAATTTGAGGAAGTAAAATGAAAATGAAATGTACTCAGTGTCCATTACAGAGTAAGGTTTAGCACACACACACACACGGAGCAGAGACTTTAGAGGAGAGACATTCAACTGTCGGAAGATGCAGTGACTTCAACCAACAGTGAGTCAGAAAAAGTATAAATAATATGTAAGTTGTTAAACTAAGAGAAGAGGAGAAGTTCGCCAGCCGCTAGATTTGAATATCTTGTTTTTATATCTGTGGAGGTCAACATTTAAATTGAAAATAAAAATTTGATTGAATTCCCCGTCCTATTACAGAGTTAGGTCCAGGAAGCCTAGCGTAGCATGAAGACTGTATTTCCCAGAATGTCGGACCTGTCCTTTAAATATTTTAAATAATATTATCACAAAATCTCAGTTGTGGCAGCTTCAGTATAAATAACGTCCATATTGACTTTCATAAACTCACATTACAACCCTGGCAGGAAATGAGGTAAAGCTGCTTTTTGGGGTGAATGTTCCCTCTAGAGCATTAATTTTCAAGACGACTTCCTCTGAAGGTAAACAAAGTGATAAAAATGACAATAAATAAATAAGATAATAAAGAAGCATGGGTTTTGTCTCCTGGTCTTCAGCTGTCTCCTGCAGGCATCTCCTCTGCTCATCAGTTCCTGTGTGCTTCTGCAAAACAACAAAGACAAATGAAAAAACTGAAAAGTCTTGGATGGACATGTTGTCGATGAAATGTTATTAACAAGCTGGTGAACATAGAGCATTTGTGTGAAAGAGACAGATATTTTAACTCAGTAGTTGGTGGAGGCCAAAGCAGAGCTAAACCAAAAGTGAATATCGGACTTACATCAGTCAGGTGGAAAGAAACAAAACACAATTTAATGGTAATGTTGCTCTTTGTCTGCTGGATGTGTAAATGGGTAACTGTTTCCTAACAAAATCTTAAAAACACAGTGTTTACAGGTTGTTGAGCTGCCCCCGAGTGGCCACAAAAAATCTTTATTATTCAGGCTCAAAGAAATGATCTTTAGGTAACCTAACTAAGAGCGAGTGGACCGGTAGCTCGAGTGGAGCTCAACATGTGTCCTGGTGAGGTAGAGTGTGTCAGAGACGATTTAAGAAAGAGACACACCACTTAAAGAATCCTGAATAGAATTCTATGGGGAAAACAACATGTAAATGCTCCGGATTTGTATAGCGCCTTTCTAGTCTTTTCGACCACTCAAAGCGCTTTTACACTACATCACAAACACATTCATACACTGAGCCTAAGTGCTCAAACAGAAACTGACATTCACACACATTCATACACTGGCCAGGGGCAATTTGGGGTTCAGCATCTTGCCCAAGGCCACTTTGACATGTAGCCCAGGGGTGCCAGGGATTGAACCGCCGACCTTCCAACCCGCTCTACCTCCTGAGCCACAGGCGCCCACATCCTGCCCCTTCTTCGAGAAAGCCAATTGCCTGCTTTTTAACAGCCAAACCGGGAAACATATTAGCCAGTCATGTGGTTCCACTGACACAAGTGCACAAAGTCATCAAACCTTTTCAGTTTTTACCAGATTTACTGCTGTTTTTATGTCCTGGTGATCATTTAAAGTGCAGTTCCGGCTCTCTCCCC